TTGCAGACTGCCTGGTATTCAATTACTTATGTGTTCACCTCCTTCAAGCTACCCAATTTAAGAAAACAGACAAGAGACTTAGACACCTTACAAAAGGAGATATATGAACGGTCACTAAGCACATAAAAAGATGCTTGACATTAACAGTAACAAATTAAAATCACAAATGAAATACAACTTCACACCCACTAGAAAGGCCAAAATCAAATAGACTGACAATATCGAATGTCAGTGAGAATGTGAACAACTGAAACTATCATACATTGCTAGTGGGAGTGTAAAATGGTATAACCACTTTGAGTTTTTTTAAATGTTGTACCTACACTACCCTATGACTCGAGAATCCCACTCCTAGAAATTTATCCAAGTGAAATAAAAACATGTCCACAAAAAGATATAAAACATGTTCATAGCAGTCTTATTCATAATAGTCAGAAACTGGAAACAGCACAAATCATGATCAAATGAAGAATAGTAAACAAATGAAGGCATATATTAATATAGTAGAATTCTACTCAGAAATAAAGAGGAGAAATTTACAATACATGTAACAGTATGGATGAATCTTGAAAAATTATATCAAACAAAAGACACACACTCTCCCTCTCTCCCCTTCCCTCTTTCTCTCTCATAAACTGTGATAAACATCCCCAAAAAGGCAAAGCTAATTTATGATGATATAAGTCAGAAAGTAGTAGCAGGGGTGGGGAGCGTTACAAGAGCAGTAGCAGCAGGACAAGAAGGGGTATAAAGGAACTTTGTGAGGGGATGGAAATGTTCTCTGTCTTGTTGGTTAATGGTTACACAGATGCACACAACTGCCAAAAGTCATCAAACTGAATACTTAGGACCTGTGCATTTTATTCTATGTAAATTATAGCTTGGTAATAAAAAGAAGGCTAGGATTGTGCATTAATCCTGTATCAGTGTTTCTCAACTTTGCTATAACTACCACCTCCATAAGACTATGAGTATGAGACCTTTCCTCCTGATTGTTACAACAGAAGGATTTTAATTGCCATAAACTTCCAAGTTCCATACATTCATACAATTTGCGAGGATAAAATGTTTGGGAACAATTAGGGCTCAACTGTCACTTAAAGAAACAGAACAATTAGAAGGAGGAATGAGATAAGTACTGAAGGAAGAGTGAAGTCTCAGCCAATAGTAACTGGCTAAGAGAAGCCAGTGGAAAATTGGTTATGCTTATCTTCTCTTTCTTTTTAGTGACTTACAGGTTCCTCTCAAGTTGGGCTATTTTCCCCTGAGACTCTTCGAGATTCTTCTGGGTGACCTGCAGCTTCATCTCCATGCCTTCTTGTTTAGCTATCATACTCTACACAACAGAGATATCTGTTTTAGGAAATTGTTCGGATCCCCAGATCTAGACACAGCAAACCTGCTGAAGGTAGCACTCACCCTCATCTTTGTTTCTCTTTTGTTTCTAAGTTTCATCAACTCTAGGCTTAGAATTCTCAAATTCTTCTGGTTACCATTTTCAGAAAACTAAATTTAAAAAAAACACATAAAAAAATTCAGAAATATTTTTTGCTAAGTCATATATAAAATCACATAAATATTGACTATTCTACTCATCACTGGAGCTATTATTTGCTTGCAATATACTGGTAGAGAAAACAGCCTTTGACCAACACTATAATTACTGATTGTATATTACTGCTGTTCTTAGCTCTCTTTTTCCTTAATGTGACTTGCTGGTTTATTTCTGAAAGGTAGTTTGGGTGGTCACTTACCTCTATATGTTGGGAAGTCCAATGCAAGGCTCTAAAACAAGCCTCTAAGAGAGGATATCTTGATGTGTGTTTGCTTAACAAAATGCATCAGAATTGCCTGGTGTACTTTGAAATATGCAGAATATAGTATCCATCCCAGGCCTAGGAAATCAGAATCTCCCTGGGTGGGGGCCCAGGAATCTGCTCCCTTCCCTGTGTTTGATTCTAATGCACTCTTAACTCCCTTTGTAAGCAAAGAGCCCAGCACATCAGAGGCCCTGAATAGATGAATCTTACTAAACTGAACAGTGACTTTTATGCTCCCTCTAATTCTGTAACCAACGGGATGACCACATTAATCCCTTTAAGTTTGATTAATATATTAACAGTGATAAACACAATTTATCTATTGAGCATATTTAGTCCATCAGTTTATTTATTTCCCACTTGATTCCCAAAAGGATTTGAGATGGAAGCCTATTGTTATGCTATTATTTATTTTGGAGAAAGGTCTTTAAAGTGATTTGTAGATGTAAATTCTATAATTTTTATTAATAATCTTATTTACTGGGGGTGATAAAATGTAAGATATCAAAACAAAAAGTAATTTGTTTATAACTTATTTATGTGCCAGGCACCCTAATTAAAAAAGATACTATAATTTTTATTTGAAACAGCTTACCACTTAAGGTACATTTAATGAAAGAAAAGGCAAAACTAGAGCCTAAAACTCTCAAATATCTGTAATGAGGAAAAAAAATGTTTGTTATTTTTTGAACTATAAATGTTATCACAAGGCTCAAATACCTTAGATTTTAGTAGTTCATTAGTCCTTGACAATTCGATAAGCTGTTTTTCCAGTGAAGCATTATTTGCAGAGAGCGATGTTTTTTCCCTGACTGCAGCATTTAGCTTTGCTTCCACCTTCTCCAACTCAGTTTCCAGGTCCTGGATCCTCCTGTCCTGACCAGCACGCTCCTGCACAAGAACACGAATCTGGACGAAAACAAAGTGATAAATAAACGATTCACTAATACAACACCAACGTAAATCGATGCTACTGATGATCAAAGCATTAAAGCTTCTGGAAAAACCTCTGATTTTGACATTATGCTCATAGACATTCTAATTGTACTAGCTATTTGAATAATCATATTTACCTTATGATACATCTTAAAAATCTTAATGTGTTTTAATAACAAAAGGATTTTAATTGCCATAAACTTCCAAGTACAATTATTAATCAGTTGTTTATTCACTTTTAAGGTATTTCTACATATAAGAATTCTTCTTTTCTGTAGTTACAATTACACAAATTCAAATTACAGTCTGAAATGCTAAATATGTTTTTTATTTCAAGAAGGCAAAGCTGGGCTTCTAAGTATACTGTAGTAGGTCTCGACAAGCCATCACCCTTGTTGCTACCACCAGATTAAAACAAAAACAGCCCAAAACCCTAATATTTGTCAACAGAAAATATGGAAGCCAGAAGACAGGGAAATGACATCTTTAGAATAATAGGAGGAAAAACCTGCCAATCTAAAATTCTATACCCAAGGAAGTAATTGATGTAAATGATCAGTTCTCATCCTGGCTTTGCAACTCACTCACTAGCTACCTCATAAAAACTCAGTTATTGAAGTATCAACACCTACATCATCAGCATATATCCTCATAAAATTATAGTCAACATTTTTAACATAAATATAACAGGATCAGAGCAACCAGGCAAAGATTTGCAGATATCTTGACATATTCTTGGTCCTAAGCCAACATTTGACTGTAATCAAATGGAAGGTTTTAACATATTAAAAGAGGCCAGGCGCAGTGGCTCACGCCTGTAATGCTAGCACTCTAGGAGGCCCAGCCAGG